CCTTTTTGAGGATAGGATAAGGGGCACGGGGTTGGGTGGGTGGTGGGGGGGAATCTCAGCTCAGCCCACTTTATGACAATGCAGATGGCCAATATCTTCAATGATCTTCAAGGGATTACAAGTGTTTTGCACCAATTCTTCTGTCACGTCTCTTGTGTGTAGTTAAACAATCAAATTAATGGAATAGTGATCGTTTTTTAAAAATAATGAAAATAGATTTTTTTGCAACCTCACAGGAATCACTTTCCAGATCCCTCTCCCATTATTTTGCTGCACGTCTATGAAATGCTCAACATCTGCCCCCAGAGGGCAGGAGGCCGGTGCTGGCTTCCCTTCCAGGGGGACCAGACTGCAAGGCTCCTCTTCAGCCAGAGGCTGCCCTTGAGAGCAGCTTCTCCTACCACATGCCCTTGTACAGATGGGCAGCATGGATGGATTTCAGGGAACCAGAGTAGAGTTCTCAGGGTCTTGGATTACAAATGAGACAGGCTGGACTCATGTTTCCTTGCAAAGAGGTGGCTGGTGTACCTGGTCGGCCGTCAAAGTGGACTGCATCTCCTTACAAAAATAACGAACTGCAAATAACAAAGAACAATCCCAGCATTGGCTGGCAAAATATGTCTTCCAGGGAGAAGAGTTACCAAACTGCCCCTCAGACTAACAGCTACATGGTGAGCTCATGAAGACCTGGGCACACCCCATCTGCCCCTCGAGCGCCAACACTACAGGGGACCCGCCAGAGCTACCAAGGGCGTGGGGAAGCAGCTGGCAGAAGGGGGCTTGCTTCTGGCAAACCTGGAATTTCTGCTTTTGGGTGAAAGCATGTTTGAGAAGAGCACTTGGGACTCTGAACAAGATTATGGCAGTGGGACAAGTCTATGTCCCCTGCACAGACCGAGATTCTGCACCATGCCAGGAGGAGGGTCTGTGCAGGGGAAGCAGGCAGGGGCCTGCAGGTCTGAGGCAGTCTTAATTCTTCTTCTGATGTTCCCTGCTGCTAGTGCACAGGTTGACAGCTGGGGAGCATCGAGCACATGAGGTGGCACAGTGAACAGAAGAGAGGCAATCCTGGGGGGGCACTAGAGAACAGGAATGGAGAGAAATGGTCTTGCTGCCAAAAAGTGCTGCTAATTGTAGTTGGTAGTGAAGCAGTCACTCCACAGGAGGAGGTACTATGGGAACGGTCAGGTTGACCTTGACCTGGGGATTAGAGAGGAGTGCTGGTGCTCAGCAGAGGAACCCCTGAGGGAGGTGGAGCTCTCCTGGCCTCTTGCAACTGTGACTCTCTGAAGGACCTGCACGATGGAGCTCAGCCCTAAAGCTTGAACTGAAATATCACCTCTGATAGAAACATACAGCTGCCAGTGTATGCTTTCCACAAGCTGCTGAATCACCCTGAAATCTCTAAGTCAAAGTTGTTTCTATGACAACTCTCAATAAACAATAACCTGGAGTAAACAATAATCTTCCACTGACAAAGAGGACTTCACACTCTGAAATGCATAATGGTTATTTTTATGTGTCAGCTTGACTGGGCCACAGGATGCCCAGGTATTTTAGTCAAACATTCTGCCGGGTGTTTCTGTGAAGATGACATTAACATTTAAATTAATAGACTGACTAAAGCTTATTCCTCTTCCTAATGTGGGTGGGCCTTGTCCCATCAGTCAAAGGCCTACATAAAACAAAAAGACTGACTCTTCCCCCAAGGAAGAGGGAATTCTCCTGCCTGACTGCCTTTGAGATGTGGCACTGGTTTTATCCTGCCTTTGCATCCAGAATGAACCATCAGCTTTTCCTGGGTCTTCAGCCTGCTGGCTTTTGGACTGGAACCTACACCCGCAGCTCTTAGGTCTCCAGCTTTGTGGACTGCAGGTTTGGGAACTTGTCAGCCTCCATAACCAGTGAGCCAATTCCTTGTAATACATCTCTTTATGCAGGACATGTGTACATCCACACCCACACACACACCGCCGATTCGTTCTCTGGACAGTGCTAATAACATGTTTTCTTGTCAGGTCTCAGCAGGGCAGGAATGGGCAGGAAGTCACAGGGAGCAGGCTTGGCAAAGTTCATGTCACTAGACAGCCCCACGCAGGCTAAACCCACGGCAGGTGGGTCCCTGGGCACAGAACATCCCAGCCAGCTCACACAGGGCACACAGGCTGAAAGGCGGCTGGAAAAGCAACTCAGGTGAGGGAAGGACCGCGCCACTTCACCAGAGGCTCAGGGTCTTCTCCCAGACAAGCCCCCACCTCGCCCTCAGAGGCTCACACCCACAATGACGCCCCACACGCCCATCTGTGGTTTAATACAGTTGTGAAAATATATCCTATGCTGGTAGGTCTTACATTTAATCAAATATAAATTTCCTCCACATGAAACCCTAACGCAAGGTTTAACAAAAAGAAAAAGAAAAAAAAGGAAGACATCAGCGTGCGGAAAGGGAACTGCCGGGTCTTAAGAAAGGCGCGACTGGCCGCCTGCATGTGCATGTGTGCATGTGCAGGGCTACATGTGCACCTAGACTTGTGTCCTGTACTGAGCAACTGCTAAGGGGGACATCTTGGGTGGGGGGCAAGCCGAAGCCCCCAGCATCAAAGCACTCCCTTCCTGGTGAAAGGCCAGCAGTACTGCTCGCCAACAGGGGCATCAGAGTGCACTATTAGGTGGCTTACGCACACTCATTAAACAGATACAATTTCTCTAGTTCTCTAATAAAAATAGCTATATTTACATTTCATTTACAGGACAACTGAATTCCGAGGGCATCCTTTCACTGAAGAGAGCAGGCACACTGCAGTCCCCCTGGCGTAGGAACGGGCACTGATGTCTGCCTGCCCACAAGCCCATGCATCTCTCTCCCATCCATCATTCATCAATGGCCTCAGCGAGCTAGGTGCTGGGCAGACAAGAGAATGACTAGGACACACATTTGTGGGGAACATTTCCACATGCAGTTACCCTGACTGTGTTTAACAGCGACACTCCTCTTAGTCCTTTGTTTTCAACGGGCAGGAGATTCTCTGAAGGGCGCCACTGCTTCCGGCTATTGCGAACACATCATGTATTGGCTGCTTATCTGCCTTGTCCCTGTCACGCTGTCAGTCTAATGCCCTGAAGCCCACCTAAGCTGTAACCTCATCCTCATGTATCACTGCTCGTCGGTAATGCTCAATAAATCATGTCCCTGGGCAGCAGCAAATCAATCCACTTCCTAAAAAGACACAAATCACAATGGTAGCAACTTCCTGCAATTCTCAAAAGGATCTGGCATGTATGAAACATCCAAAATTCTGGTACCATCCTAATTAGACCCTTCCTGATATGCCAGGTCTAGCTCAGGATGCCACATATAATGCAGAGGAGTTTCAGAAGAGATTTATCAGACAAGCTGAAGACTGCAATCTGGTAAATACAAAGAAAAGCTGAGTGCTCAGCCTAGAAATGTGTGAGTCTGTTCCCAACCAGCCCAGAACACCCAGCTGCTGCAGACAGAAACAGCAAACTCCTACTGCCCGACTTCTGTCCAGGATCTTCTTGAGAGACGCCAGACCAGCAGAGTAGGGGTTCTAGGACGGGCAGTCTAGACGTGCTAAGTCTTGTCTCTGGACCAAGAAATCCCGAGTTGAACCAGAATGTACTAATTCCCAGAGATCACTTAGCCTGAACCTCATGCTTTGCACTGTGCTCTGGACACACCTTGGGGGACAGTCACGGAGACAGCCCTGCGATGTCTACTGATTCACCAAAGACAGACTGCTGGGGACGCAGCACTCAGGGGTCCCTGCATGCAAGCCGCACTAAGAAATACTTTTGTTAGTGCCAAGAAAACCTTACCCCTTTCACCAAGTTAACTGCTTCACATTTCCTTCTTATTTACTGTTACAAAAAGTGAGTACCAGATCACAGGTGAACTGGGGTAACCCTGTAACACACACCTCTTCCAGGTCTCTGCTCAAACATCTGCGACAGCCCTTCATGAAAGAGCCCCCAGCCCGCGCTCCTTGCCCACCTCCCCTGTTCCTCCCACCGTACTGCTTGCCTGCTGATAGCCTTCACGGCTCACTCGCTCATTCGTGTTTGATCTCCTTCCAATTAGAGAGCAACCACCTTGATGGCAGATACGGGTTCTCTCCCGGAACTCCAGAAACCCCTAACAATAGTAGCACTAACTAAATACTCAGTAAATGAAAAAGTAAAATACGGATAACTCTAAAAACTCTATGGTCTGCATTTCAGCTTTGTCCATGAACTTGAACTTTGATTCTAAATTATACACCCTGGGTCTGATGTGTCCACTGCTGTTTTTGTTTGTTTCGGTGTTGGTGAAAGCCAGCCTGGACCTTTTATAAAGTGAAGCAGGAGAAAGCAGAGAGATAGGTACAGACAGAAAAAAAGGATGGTCTAATTACCAAACACACGGCATTTTAACAGATGGCAAAGTCTCTGAGGACAGAAGAGGAAATGAGCCACGTGGCATAACTATTAATTAAATGGAATAACCTTTATTCAAAACTGATCATTTCATCTACCAGTTCAGTCTTCCTGTGGATTCACTCAGGAAGTGCTGATATTAAGACGGCCAGCCCACTGCACACACCCTCCTGGCTTCTCCGGCCGTGACCATGGGGCCCACCTATTTGGCTCACTGGCGCACAGGCACCAAGGGCTGCTCTTTGCCACAGTGGTGTCCAGATGCACCCTCATCGTGTTCATCTCCACTCTGGAATTCTTTGTAAGGAAATGAATGAAAAGCTTCCAGAATTTAAAAAAATACATTGCACCTCTCCCCAGAAACCTACCTCCAGATATGGAGCTGTTGAAGACACGACTCCACAATAATCAGAGGTGGAGTAAAAGAATGCATGAGACTATACCAATTTCATTCCAGAGTCTTAGGTTAGGTAAGTTGAAGCCTTGAAAAGCCAAGGGAGTGGGGGAGAGAGAGGGTGGGAGGTAGTGTGGGAGGTGACACTAAAGAAGGAGGGGGTGCCTACCTGTTTCACGACGGTCACCGTCCCCGGGGCCACGGCCACCACCGAGGCGACAGCAGCTGCGTCATGGCTCTCAGCACCCAGCCCGATGATCTGCTGCAGGATGTTCACAGCTGTGGGGTCAAGCCGGTCACCTTATGAAGGAGAAGCAAACGACACCATTCAGGCCACTGAATGTGAAACCAGCCCTTGGCAGAGGCCCCTCTAGGGTGGGGCCTTCCCCGGGGCTGCCTGGTTCCCAGCAGTTGCTCATCCCGACAGCACAAATGATCTGTATGGCACTGCAAAGCTTACAAAGCATTTTCCATAAGAACATCTCAGAATCCCAAGCACCCTGTGAGGAGACGACATTGCGATGTAATGTATTACCCCATTTCCAGAGTAGTTACTACCCCACGAAACAGCCACGAGACTTTGGCAGTGACCTTGGGCTGTCGGGTCCTTCACATCACAAAGCCTGAGCTAGGCCCAGACGTTCTCAACCCAAGCTTGGTGACACAAGACTGCCTCTCAAAGCAGAGCCTGTGAGAAGCGCCAGCTCATCTGTTAACCTGCAGAGCTAGTTTCCCTCTAGCACACGTGTGCTAGGTGGGTAGGGAACATGTGCCAGAAGAACTACACCAGCTGTAGGCAAAACACACAAGAGTCTCACTTATCAATTGCTCCCACAGGGCAGCTCGTGAGGATACTTTCCTGCTCTCACCACCTGTGACTCTCGTGAATGTGGCACTCGGACCATGACCATTAATTCACCGAAAGGGAAATGACTGGTCATAACACTTTGATGTCTCTGCCAATGACTGCATCTCAGGACTGGGTTTGTGCAGACAACATCCCAGTGTGAGCCTACCCGTAAGAGATGGGAGTCGGAGACCCACGTGTTCTCTGCAAAGGGTGGGGTGGGGGGCACACGGGGAGGCACCTTAGTGATTTGCTTATATTCACAATGAACCACCCAGCATTTCCCTCCATACACTCTCTCTCTCTCTCTCTCTCTCTCTCTCTCTTGCATGCGCATGCACGTGTGCTCACTCTCTCTCTCTACCTCCCTCTTTCTCAAGGGAGATGTTTCAACTGTGCCTTGTGGCCAGCCACCCAAACATCCAGACTGAATAAAACATTTGCCCTAAAAATGAACCGACATCAGGTTAAGTCCTCATCCATTACTCCCTCAATGACCATTTATCAAGCCTGTCAGCCAGCAAGGCATTCCCAGTGGGAATGAAGAGAAAGATCTAACACCATTTCTCCCTTCCTCCTTCCAGGTCTCACAGGTTACTGAGAAGAATTTGTAAGCAAATTATTACAGCACCTGGTCAGGTCCCTATCAGGAGGGTAATCAGGGGAATACTAGAAAAGCCAGGCAGGTTCCTGGCAGGTGACATACAGTCTGAATACTGAAAGCAAAGAGATGAGTTTGCCAGAAATGCTGTGCGGATGAAGGGGACGGAGCAGGTCCCAGAAGCACTGCAGCATGTGGGTGGCAGAGATGTGCTGAGGGCTGCAGAGCGGAGGGAGCATAGCTCGGGGGAAGGGCGGCAGGAGATGCGGGTGGGGAGTCCAGGACCCAGTGCAGGCTGCAAGCTGCTGAGCTGCAAAGTTGGAACTGTATCCCAAGAGCTAGGAAGACACACCAGGGAGGCATTAGAAGGGGTGAGCGTGTGTGCTGGCGGGGGCGGGGGGATGACGACAGAGCCTTTGCAGGGCCTGAAGTCACTGAACAGGAGGGAAGAAAACACGAGCTCAGACAAGGCCTCACCTGTAGGACCACCATTTATAGACAGGCCTCAATTCTGCAGAACCTGTCACTCTCCCCGGCTGCACTGTAGAGGCACTGTCTCCTGACTCCCCTCAAGCTCAGCAGGAAGAGACCCCCTGGCAGTTAATCTCCCCTAAAGTGACTGGCCCCAAGAAGCTTTCTGTGCTGCTCTCTTCACAACTGGGGAGTTAGAGATTTAAGAACTGGGCAAAAATGGTGATTTCATAACTCCTATCCCCTGTCACCATTGATGCTTTCCTCTTAATCCCACTTGCCGCCCCTCTGTCCCCCAAATACAAACAGGGCTGTGGTCCATTACATTAACTTCAGCTCTGGTCATATTCACAAAAGCATTAAGAAAAAAATGTTCCTGAGCATAAAGCCCCAGTCACCACTGGCTGGCACGTGCTTTGCTTTTTAGCATTGATCTGACATTTGACATGGAAATCCTGATATGAGGCTTTTCAGAACTGGGAAGTAGGCAGTCCTGGGCCTGCAAATCTGCAAGGTGGTCACAGACAAGGCAAACAGCTGTGCCTGGGCTCAGACGTGCCACCCATTGTCCTGCCTGTTGGCCCCTGTAGGCCCTGGAACTTGTCCCCAGAGTAGATGACTGAGAGGAAGCATGGAATGGGGGACAGCACCCCAATGAGAACTCAGGAAACCTAGATTTCAGAATCTGTGCCAACACCCAAAAGTGGGTGAGCCTGCCAACCATGGACCAGGAAGCGCCCCGCACTGATGAGGTGAGGGCCAGGGGGCTGCTTCTCTCACAGGCTGTTAGAAGGAGCGGAGGTGACGAAGTGCAGACTTCTGGCAATGCTGTTACAAAGCACAACCTCTGTGGTGTCTCACTGCGGTCCTCCACCAGCTGCTGTAGGTCTATATCAAGAGGAAGAGATCTCTGAGCCGGACATGGGGCCGCTGCTGCACGCTGAACACTGGGTCAGGGGTTTTCAAGGAGAGCAACTGTGGACACCATTCATTTGCAAACTCATTCATTCTGCATGTTGACTAAAGACCCGTTCTAAGCTGTCAGAGGGCAATATGGCATGTCACTCACCACTCTCAGAGGTGTATCTCAGGTCCTGGAGTGCAGCCACCGCTGCCTGAGTCCCCTGGACATCCTCTTCGGCTTCTGTGATGTGCAGATACTGGGTGGAAGGCTCCTCAGGAGTTTCTGTTGCTGGCTAAGTAAAAACACAATGCCATCTAAGTGATCCTCTAGTGGACCACCTGTTACTCAGAAGTTCCAGGATAAGGTATTAAGGCAAAATCAATGCACCCAAGCAACCCTCTGCGACATCTGGTTTGCCTGGCATCCCTGCAAATCACCGCTCCGGTGAAAACATTCTTCCCAAGGAGAATACCTCTCTTTGCAAATACTCTTAAAACCAGCTTTGGTAGAAAGCTTCCTGCTAACCTTCCTGCCTTGGGGAACAGCGTATGTGGCTCATAATCAGAGATTAGAGTTCCGGCATGTGCAGCGGTTCCGGCATGTGCCCGTGTAAGGGCTCCTCTGTCTCCCCCAGTGGGACCAGCACGGCCTTCAGTCCTCCCTGGGTCCAGCCTCACACTGTGTGGCTGACAGAGGTAGAGCCCAGCAGCGGTGATGGTGGAAGAAGGGAGAGGACGGTAACTGCTTAAAAATAATTGCAGGCAAAATGGGTAGCACAGGGCACATAGTAAGAGTGTAGCAAATTTTAGCAATTTATACCATTCTTATTTTTATCTGAAGGATATGATAAAACTGACCCCAGAAAATACATCTGTGCAAAATCAGGACTTGTGAGGGCAGGAGGAGTCAAAGAACGCTCACAGGCACCTTGTACCTCGAGGAGAGTAGAGGTGGAACAGAATTTTCATGAGAACCAGATATTAATAATGACTTCTTTCTGGGAGGGGTGGCAAGTACAAGTAAAAATGTAAGACAGGAGGCATGAATGCCACCATAAAGAACAAAAAGGGGGACTTCCCACAAAATTTACAATAACTCAAGTCAGCATGCTCTACGGACACAGGGTCAGAATAGCATGGGAGTAATTTACGGCCAAGTGGCCAAGTCATTTAGGTGTTTCCAGTCTGACAGTCAGTAGACACTAGTAAGTATTTGATGAATGCATAAAGGAATAAAAAGCAGCATATTTCCTTTTAAGTACCTTTTAAGTACCATTAGCAACATATTGGCCAACACTGACTGGATGGCAGGAGGGACTTAGCTTTTGACAAACAGGATGCACACAGAATGGCTTTTCCTTGTCACTGGGGGAAACTGTGTAACAGTCACTTGTGGGAAGAACAGGGCTTTGAAGGCGTTCTTGGGAGCCGGGGGACAGCACACACGGGTGAAGCAGGCAGCTCGCCACTGCGCAGGCAGCCGCCCTGTGCCCGGCCCCCGGGCTGCTCTGCTGCCTCACTTCTGGCGCCGAGTGCGCGGCTCTGTGCCGACTACTTCACTGGAATGTGCAAGAAGGGAGGCGCGCAGGGAAGAGCTCTGCCGACCGTGACCATGCGAGCGCCCACTGGCTGGGAGAGGCGGGTCTTTAGTTCAGGAACTGCGCTCTGATACCTATTTAACAGAGAGCGAATCCTTGCAGTGCGAACTGGCAACGGAGAGGACCGTTTTCCCGTAGACAAGGCTGTGACGCCGATGCCTCATCACCCCCGCCAGTAACCACGTAGCTGCCACTTACCACGGGCCGGTCACGGACTAGACACTGACCTCAGCATTTGCTATAGCACGTGTCTCAATCCTTTCACCTCTTGGGTATTATTAGCCTCACCGATGGGTAAACCCTCTGAGACCACAGAGCTTAAATAATGGCTCAAGGTCAAGCCATTTATAGGGGACAGTGCTGGGATTCAAAGTGAAGTCTGTCAAACTCCAAGGCACATACTCCTTAATTTTCTTATAGAGAATTTCAAATATACACAAAAACGGAGATAAACCCCCAGGTACACATCACCCAACGTCAACAGTTACCAACTCGGGGCCAGGCTTGCTTCACCTAGGCCCTGACATGCTCCACACCCTGCCTGCCCCTGGATGATTTTGGAGCAAATGTGTAAATCATATCATTCTATCTATAAGTACTTCAGAATGTATCTCTAAAAGATAAGACTCTTTCAAAATATGACTCTGACACATAACAATAATTCCTTAATAACCATCACATATCTAGGCAGTGTCCTAATTTCTCCAATTGTTTCACTTTCCACAACTTGTTCTTCAAATGGGATTTAAGTCTGTCACTGAATTCCACCTATTAGAACTGAACGATACATCTCATAAGACCTCTATTTACAGGTTCTCTCCCAACTCTTGACTTTCTCCCTTGCTTATAGTTTTGTTGAAGCAAGTGGCCTCTAAAGTCTCCAGCAGTCTGGATTTTGCTGACTGCATGACCACGGAATCATTTCAGGTGTTCCTCCGCCCACTGTATCTCCTATAAATTGGTAGATGTAACAACTTCACCAGATACTGGTTCCCTTTTTGGCAGGAGCGTTTCAGGGGTTATGTTCTACATACTTCCACCGGAAGACACCTGCTTTCTGAGTGTCTCTTGTTTCTGCTTCTGTGATGTTAGCAGGTAACTGACAATCACTGCTAGATCCATGACATCATAGGAGGGTTGCAAAATGCCGCATATTGTAAATCTTCCTTTTTAGCTGGAATACGTCTAGAGAAACTTCGTTGCATCAAACATTTGGTTATGCTGAGGTATAGTTTGTTTAGAAAAGGTAGAATAATTGCTTGGTTCTTGGCCTTTATTTACCAAAATAGAGTTCTATTTATCAAAATAGAGTTGATTCCCTAATATCCTACAAAGGTGACTTTTGAGTTTTTCCTCGGTATCATCATAAACCTAGGGATTCAAACATGCTGGATATGTGTTACTAGTCATTAAACACAACAGCCTCAGAGGAACAATGTCAACTCTACGTCCAACAATAAGATTCCTGACAACAGTGCGTGTTTTCACAGTTCTCCTGCCCTCGGGTTCAGTCCCACTAGGGAGACCCAATCCAGTCCCTGTGTAGTTAGGCCATTGTTTTGGTAACAGTTAGAATCATTAATTTTACTCTCAATTTTTAGGATTTTGTTTAAACTTTACTTTTTTTATTCTTACATATAAAATCTTTCCATGGCTTCCGAATCAACTGTATACAACTGGGTCCAGTTACTGGGTAGGCAAACTGGGTACACTAGCTGGTACAGTTCCTGCGCACACTAACTGGTACGCCAATGGACAGGCTGACTGGGTACACTAAGAGAAGTTCAGCTTCTCTCCTACCTGTACCATCTTGCCTCTCTACCTTTCCACATATAATGGCCCCCCTTTTATAACCATTTTTTAAAAAATATTTTTAGATTTTCAGAAGTTATAAAGGTAAAAGAGTTCCCAAATACCCTTGACCCAGCTTTCCCCTGATGTTACAGCCTGACATAAACATGGTACGACTGTCAAAACCAAGAAACCAACAGTGGTACCAGGGCAGGCGTATTAGACGCACTGGCTTTTTGGTGGGCAGCCTTTTCTGCTCCAGGGCCCCACGCGCGTGCAGTCGTCGTGTCTCAGTGGTCTCCTCCCGCCTGTGACGGCTGCTTGGCCTTTTTCCCTGGCTTTCACAGCCTTGGCACTTTTGAGGAGTACTGGTCAGGCATTTGTCCCCACACACCTTCAATCATCTGGATGTGTCTGACGGTTTCTCACGATTAGATGGAGGCTGAGGATTTTTGAAGAGTATCACAAGGTGAAGGGCACGCATCACATAAGCGACAATGATGTCGCTATCACTTATGACTGAGGATGTGAGCTTCTGGTCACATGGTGAGGATGGTGTCTGCCAGATGCCTCTAAGCACTGCTTTTCCCTCTATAATTAATACATATTTGGGGGGGGAAGATATTTTGAGGCCATATAAGCATTCTGTTTCTCCTTGAATCTTGCCTATTAATTTTAGCATTCACCGCTGAATCTTGTCTGCTGCAATTATGACTCTCATGTTTTAATGATGATCCACCATTTTCCTTGTTCCTTCTACATTATCCTAAATTCTTCTGTGGGTTCCTTCCCCACAATTTATTTATTTATTTAGTCTTGCATTCATATCAGTATGGACTTAGATATTGATTTTATTCTTTGAGTTATTGTCCAACACTATCATTATTTATTTTTTTACTCAAATTGTTCCAGCTTGGCCATTCAGAGGTCTTCATGTTGTCTTGTGTGTCTCTTTGACAGGCCTCCATCTTTTTTTTGGTTGGGAGAATGTTGTTACTTCCCTGGACCACAAAATGCTCCAGATCATCTTAAATATTTTTTGCCTTAGCTCTGGAATCAAACACTTTTCAAAGGGACAGTGTCTCATTTTATTGGAGAATCCTATTGGGAAACCAAGATCTGGGTAGTAGGTGTGTTCACTGCCACTAGGGTATCACTGCTTCTGGGCCCTCTCAGCACAAAAAGCTAAGCAAAACATGTATATCTATACTAATCATGTATACATGTGCACCTGGAGTTATCTCTGTATCCATCTATCAGGGTTTGTGTATACACACTCTATCACTCTAGCTATACAACAGTGCTGCAATTCATAGCCTCATGCAGATCCCTTTCTCACTTTTGTCAGTATTAACTTTGGGGTGGTTTTTTATTGCTGGGATTGTTAAGTTAATGGATAAAGAAATGTGTGTGTAATTTTACTAAATATTGCTAAATTCACAGAGGTCATAACATGCTGTGTTCCCACTCAGCAATGTATGAGGGTGCATGTTTCCCCTCGGCTTCTCCAACAGAGACTTCTCTGCTTAGTTCTAACTAACATATACTGTGTGTGAGGCTGATCATATCTTTAGATATTTAAGGTCACTGCATTTTGTTTTCTATGAACCCTTCTTATTTCTTACCCATTTTCCTGCTGGGCAGTTGGCTGTTGGTCTTTCTAATCACTATCCCTAGAAGCCTTGTATAATGTAAAGGTAGTGATCCTTTTTTATGATATGACTGAAAGTATTTTTTGTCCTTCGTTTCTTTACCTGGTTTGTGAAATCTCTTCCAAAGACTATTAAAATTCTTTTCATGTAGTCAAATTTCTTCAGTCATTTCCCTTAATGATTCTGTCTTTGAGATGCAGTTAGAAAAGTTCTCCAACTCTCAATTTATAAATGAATTAATTCACCCATATTCTCTTCTGGTATTTGTAATATCACTGTTTTTACATTTAAGTCTCTGTTCCTTTTGCACTAGTCTCTCTCTCTATATATTCATAATTAATATTGAAGTTTTAATCTGCTGCTTATCATGTATAATCTTTCATTCTTTTTGATTTTCTAAAACTGTAATTTGGTCATCTGCAGATACAGATACTTTATTTCTTCTCTTCCAATTCTTATGTCTCTATATTTTTTGCCTTACCTAATGCACCCGCTTACACTGACCACATGACATTAAAGAGCAGAGCTCCTGAGGCATCCTTGTCTGGCTCCTAATTTAGTGAGAAATGTTCCAATGTTTCCCCACAAAGTAAGATGCTGGCTTTTGGGCTGAGACATATATATATATATATTTTCACCTTAAGAATATATTGATCCAATACTCTTTTATTGGCTATTTTTAATCAGTGGATGCTGAATTTCATCAAATGCCTTTTGTGTATCTGTGAAGATAACCATTTATTTTTCTCCCTAGTTCTATTATTATGACGAATTATATGAACATATTCCCTCTGAACAAGCCACCTTTCTCTTGAATTCTAGATTAATCCCCACATTTCTATGACCAATTATTTTTTCATGTATTGCTGGATTTGTTTGAAAGCTGTTACTTACTCTTAACCACTAGATGCTCTGATATTCCAGCTCCAGAAAGTCCTTAGAAAAGTAGTTCTCAACTGGAGGTAATTTTGACCTCTTGGGAGACACTGGCAGTGTCTGCAATATTTTTGATTGTCACAACTGGGGATGCTACTGGTGTCTAGTGGGTAGAGGTCAATGATGCTACCAAACATCCTGAAATGCACAGGACAGCCTCCTATAACAAAGAATTATCATGTCAAAGATCCTAACCTGCCTTAGATAATTTGCAATTAGTCCATGGAAGTGAAACCTGGTATTTGAAGAGAGACAGCTAGTGGCTTTTACTGTAGATGTGTTTTCAACCAAGTGACTGGTTTGAACACCTGAGGGCAAAACAAAGCTGACAGGTAGGAGCACATGTCTTTTGAAGAGGGAGAAAAGGGCCTAGAATCAGGAAATGGAGCCCTCCCCAGTTCTCCTGGTGAGGACTGACAATATATTCCTTGCAAGCATTCTTTTAGATGCAATATCTGAAACTCTGAATTTGCAAATAATAGAAGTGAAAATGTGAGACCAATAGAGACATTCACAAAAAGGTCTAAATTCAACAAGAGTAAGAATTTACATGCATGGCCCAGATCTCACCCAGTTATAGCTCAGACAGAAGACATGCCTAAAAGATTTCCAAGTTCCCCAACTGAGAAACCCAATGACCTGGCTGCCTGTGCCCAGGACCTGGGCTTGCCTGATTTGTCATTTGTGCCTAGAAATGCCAGGTTTAATACCGTATTTTAAAAAGTTACCTCCCACTTGGGGTCTCCTTCATTTTCTACCAACTTCAGGCCATGCTTGTTCTTCAGGTGCCTGTTGAACTCCCATTTGGTGCCATACACAAAGCTGCAAACAGGACACTTCAAACCACCTGGAAGCACAAACAGAGGAAAAAAGACACACTCATAGCACATTAAAGTTCCACAGTCTGCCCTCCATCCAAATGCTGTAAATCCAAGGGACATATGTTGTTTTGTCTCCAGTAATTAATCCAGTCCAAGCTTACCTTAGTATTAGAGCAAAATTTCAACAGTATATGTGCTTTTCAGGGGTGAGATTTTAAAATTTAATGTACTTCTTTCCATCTATTAAATGAGCCATTTGCAGACAACCTGATATATACTTAACATTTTAGGCACAGAGAGAAGTTAAGATGAGTAACAATATTCCTTTGGCCTAGTAGATAAGTGGCTTTAATAATTTTTAAATATGTTTTTATTTGAAGAAAGAAAGTAATTTAGAAAATAGAAATAACTACAGGGCAGTGGCTGCTTTTCTCAAGCACCTTTGTCTCAAAACACTAAAACCAGGAGGCAGATTATCAGTCTCCCTGACATCAGAAGCTGAGCTTCTGGTATAAATTCCCCAGTAAAGGGTAAATTAAAAAGCTGGTCACATCCTGAAATGTCACTATTTATTGAACTGATGGAATTTTGCACATATTCCAGAAGTGTTGGAGTGCTTTAATTAAGAGAATGTAAAACCCTAGGTTAAAAAAAAAAACAACTAACAGTCACACAAAAGACTGTCTTTCTAAGATGGTATCAGAGGCAGCAACTATATTAACAACTGAACAGACACCACTTTAACAGGCTGTGCTTTCAGAAGCAGACCACCAGCCTCAGGAGTGGGTATAGCATCAGGTCTCCAAATCTACCAGGCCTTTTAGCAGGCCAGTCATGCTAACTGCTGGCACCAGCAGGCCTCCACACGAGGTGTGGCTGGGGCAGTGAAACTTCAGTCCCTCAGAGGCTGGTCCTTCACTATTGGTCCATCGTTCACCCAGCACAGACAGTCTTTTAAAAAAAATAAACCAGATCACATCTCTCAGAGCCATCAACCTCTCCAGCGACTTTCCATCACACCCAGAACAAAATCCCACCCTTCATTGTGGACTGCAAGCCCTGTGTGGCCTGTTTCCAGCCTCCACCTCTGGCCTGTCTCCCTTCCTCCCCACTGTGTCCTCTCTCTGTCTTTTGCACTGATCACACTGCTTCCCCGCCCAGGACACCTGCCATTTTGGTGTCTGCTGCCGGTCTCTCTGCTGACTCTGTCCCACTGCTCTTGGGACCTGCTGTGCCCCTGTGCCCTCCAGCATCAGACATTTATTTCTTGCTCACTGGGCTTCTAAGGAGGGATTCTGTCCTAATGACAGGGTTGTCCTGACAAATTATATAACAACCAGACCAATCTCATGGAGATACAACAAACAGTTTAACCATCTCCAGATGCAGCTATCATGTGTTTGATCTCCTGAATCAATTCCATGTCATGGAATCTTACAGTGTGTTGTTCTGTAATTGAGCTTTTTTGTCTACTGAGGTGGTGAGTCAGTAATAGTCATAATCAGAAGTGGAAGTCAACCCAGATGTCCAAGAGCACGTCCCCTTATGCCTTCGGCTCACTGCCTTACGGTCTTCCTGCTCTGGGGGGCACAGGACAGCCCAGCAGGCCCAACAGAGACAGAGGGGAGTCCGCAAGATGACTGACAGCAAACGCCAAACTCTAAACTTCCAGAATAGTCTACAGAAAAGACAGCTCAAACAGATGCTTATTTTCTGAAACTTAAACATTCTGCACTCTTTTTGGGGGGGCAAAACTCCAAATAGGTTTGTTCTTTCTTGCCTAGAGGATAACCAAACTGAGTTTTCAGCCTCTTTTGTTATCACTTATTAATCATCCAAAATGCTGGTTTTTCCTACGAACATCTTTCAATACTTTCCAAGGTGTGGAACCTCTGCCTTTTCTTTTGGTTAAATTGATGCTGCTTCTCCCATAAAGATTTAATATGGGGCAGTGAATAAAAGCAAACTACTTAAAGTTAAACTTAGGCTTTAAAATTAAATGGTAAGTTCCTCCTGGGGTACTGTTAATCGAAAAACTAATTTAGGGAGAAAAACATCCTTATATTATGTTTAAGTTAAAATTAATATGATAATGCCTCCACATTAACTAAAACTTCAACCTTTGCCATAGTGACTTTAAAGAACAATGGAAACATGTAACTAAACCATATGTATAACAGTGCCAATTAACTGATATTACAGCTTAAAGAAATGAACTTCTGTTTCAATTCACTACATTCTTAGGCAATGCAAAGTAAAGGTCACAGGAAGACCTGGTGAATTTACTTGGAGCATTGATGTTAAGTGTGCATCAAAAAGACTGCAAACTCACAAATCACAATTTCCTCATAAGGGATAATGAAGCTGGCAAAAGAAGGGAATTACAGGAGCAATTTCAAAAACCAAAGATCATGGCATCCTTTGCTCTTTCTGGAACACAATATACTCTGGAGGAGTTTCAGCCGTTAAAATATTTGCACTGGTGGCTGACATTATTGAAAATTCGATTTCATTTCCAATAATGTAACTCCCGGAATGGCATGCAACAGTGGGTTGGGCAGTCAGAAACCTGAAGCTGGCACCTGCTCATGTGACCTAGAACCACTTCCTGAAGCTCTCAGGTTTTAGTTTTCTCTACCGTGAAAATGCTAAAACTCCTAACCTTAACAAAGGCACGATGGTAAGCGGAATAATGGACACACAAAGACACACGGTGGAGAAAAGGGAATCCAATCCTTGTACACTGCTGGTAGAAATGTAAATTGATGCAGCACTATGGTAAACTGTACGAAGCTTCCTTTAAAAATTAAAAATACAACTATCATATGATCCAGCAATTCCACTTCTGGGCATATGTCCAAAGGGAATGAACACAGGATATCGAAGACATATCCCTCCCTACTCCTGTGTTCTTTGCAGCATTATTCACAAGAGCCGAAACATGGAAACCACCTAGGTATCCATTAAAAGATGAGAGGATAAAGGAGTAGTGGTATATACACAATGGGATATTATTCAGCCAAAGAAAGATGGCAAGTCTGCTGTTTGCAGCAACATGGATGTACCTTGAGGCCATTTTGCTAAGTGAAATAAGCTAGAGAAAGACAAATACTACACACTATCACTTATATGAGGAATCAAAAATGATATAAAAATGCCAAACTCATAGAGACAGAGAGAAGAAAAGTAGTTGCCAGGGGTGGGATGGTAGGGGAAATAGGGAAAGGTTGGTAAAAGGGCACAAACTTGTAGTTATAGGAGAATAAGTCTGAGGATCTAGTATAAAACAGACTATAGTTGATAACATTGCATTACAGAAATGCAATTTGCTAAGACAGTAGAACTTAATGTTCCTCACAACAAAAAGATTAAATATGGGCATTAATTAATGATGATAGGAATCCTACATATCTTATAACTTTGTCAATTATACTTCAGTAAAGCTGGAAAAAAAAAGTAGTGGAGACCCATTTATAAATTGGACTGGGCTCTAAGACTGGCACTGGAATGGAGCTGACAGTCTAGAATGGAATGTGGATAAACAACAAAGACAAGTATGTGGGGTTTTTATTGTAGTGGAAAGTAAATAAACATACAAAAAGAAAAAAAGACATTCACATCCTGATCCCCAGAACATGTGTTACCTTCCATGGTGACAGGGACTTCCAGATGTGATTCAGTTAAGGATCTTGAGGTGGGGAGATGATTCTGGATTGTCCTGGTGGGACTGAGGTGGTGACAAGGGTCCTTACAAGAAGGCGGACGAGACAGGCAGAGTTGGGATATGAGAGAGAGTCCTCTGGCCATTGCTGGCTTTGAAGATGGAGGAAGGAGCTCGAGCCAAAGAAGGAGGACAGCCTCCAGAAGCTGGAAAGGCGAGAGAATGGGTTCCACCCCAGAGACTCCAGCAGGAAAGCACATGTGTCAGCAAACCTGCCTTTGGCCCAGGAGACCCGTCTGCGACCTCTGGGCCTTCAGAGCTCTATGAGGTTGTGTTGTCTTAAACTGCCACCAAGTTTGCAGTCATTTTTTACAGCAGGAATGGAAACTAGTGAAGGCACTGAAGGGCCACTGGAACAAAAGCAGCTTTTATCAAGGGAAGTGGACACAGCAGAATTTTATTTTACAATAGTAAAGTGAAACGCAGAACTGGACTTTGTTCATTCTCATTTCTTGCTGTCTCTTAATTCAGGGCCTGCTTGCAACCCAGCCAGTGTGCCAGCTCAGAACCAGGGAGTGTGCTCAGGGGAGCAGTCAAGTGGGCATCACGTGCAAACACTGAGCTAGAGGGTTCCCAGTGATGTGGCACACCGTTAGGTGAGATCTGGCCATGGGACACAGGATATCTGTGTCCTCTCTCAAACCCCAGCCCCTTCCTGTGGGATACCCAAGAAAACCAGCATTAAGGAAAAATACAGCAGAGGAAAAACAAAGTGCATTTCATTATTAGCCAGGGTGACGTCCCAAACCCCAATGAGGACCACCTGGTAAATGGAGCCTCAGAAAGGTCTCCCCAGTTCTTCCTAGTTCCCCACACATTCCCTACAGTCCTGAGGTCTGAGATCCTCTGGGAAACCACAGGGAAGCTCTAAGAAGAGAGATACTCCCAGAGTCGGCCCAGGGTCAGACTACCAACTAGACCTCCGAGAAAGAAATACAAGAGTAACCAGCACCCCGGGTATGTGACCTGCCAACACATTATCACAGGACTAGTAGCAAATTTGAAGCAATCAGTATTCTAGAATGGAACCATGCCTCTTCCTCCTCTTAAACAAGTGCAAACTTGAGACGAACTTGAGGGGACATCAGCCCATCAGTGGTAAGGAACCAGACTGTGAACCAGAATCAGGTGTGGCTTGACCACCTGCTCACTCTGTGGCCCGGGTCGGTCATTTCCCCTCCTGCGCTGCCTCATTTTTAAACAGGAGTGATGACGCCGACCTCACAGGGCCTTTGTGAGAGAGAAAGTAATATAAATTCACAATCAATAACACAGCACAGCATCACATTGCTGGAAGCATCTACAATAATGCATGGACTGGGGGCCCTGGTAAACATTAATTTAAAATAAAAATGTCCCAAAATCAAATAAATTACTTTTCTGTTACCAGATAGTTTCTGATTTTTCATCTATACTATTTTCCCTAAATCTGGTATGAAAACCAAAGATAGGACTATGTACACAGATTCACATTTTTCTAATACAGTAGTTCAAAATAATACCAACGTTTTAGAAGATGCCAAGACTACACCTTCCCTTTAACTCTCCTCTCATTGCTTCTCTCATCTCAGCTACCTTCCCCCACCCCCCTGACCCTCTAAACTGGGCTCTGAGAGAAGGGCTGGCACCTGGGAATGCAGCAAATCCCCCTGCAGGAGCAGCGCAGGGGCACATGCTTTCTGCTACGCTCGGATCACGAAGCTGTGAGGAGCTGCCCAGCCATCGTCCCTGACCCAGGCAGTAAACAGCAACACACGCCACCACAGCCCCGTGCCCAGCACAGGGTCGGGCACACTAGGAACTCAAGAGATACACGTGAGGAAGGAATATGAAGGAATATGGGAACAAACACCTAGTCCATTTGAGCTGTTTATCAAGTACTTGCTGCATGTCAGGGATGGGCTGGGATCTTGGAGAACAATACTGAATCTCTGCCATTAGAACCCTGTCTTTGAAGATGTGCAACCCGATGTTCAGAGAAGTAGCTGGTCCAAGGGCCACAGTGGCCAGAGACCCTGTTGTAGGTCCATCTGACTCCCAAACTTATGCTCATGCTAAGGACCAGGGGCACTTGCAGGAGTGCTTTGAAGTCACTAGAAAATGACCAAGCCTGCCAAGTCCTGTCTTCATCCCACAGTGAGCTCCAGGAGTATCTAATGACTTGAAGGCTTAGTGCCAGAGCATCTTACACCTCTCACGATCTAGATTGGTTGAACGAGCCCTTGACCAGCTTAAGTGGGAGTATGTCAAGGGGAGGAGGGGCAGGTCCACTGGAGCAATACACCCTGAAAACGTGCATTTGTGTGGGGAAATGCCTCGAACCCATACAATGAAATGTGATGGGCTAAGAGGAATATCAAAATATCAGCAGTACATCAAATATAAGAAGGCACTAAAACATTTACATAGCATTCAGTACATGTCTAATTACCATAAAGTACCAGAGTTCTGAGGAAATTGGTGCATTCTGAAGGTGCCCAGCTGGCAAGCTGCTGGCAGTGTCACCCCTGGACCAGGATCAGAGGTGTGCGGGAGCTGGCTCTAAATGGCTCACAACAAGCTGTGACATCTCTTCCCAGTTCAGTGACAGCACAGTGGCAGCTTCAAATTGGCCACGGTGGAAATATTTATACCATAGAAATTGGCAAATGCTACAGATCGGGTTGCCCCTGGGGTGCCAACTGGTAAACATTTGCAGAACACTCCTGGTGGGTGCCTAGGAAGCCACCACTCTAGGGCTTCTGGGGCACCATGGCAATTACCCAGACCCCATGGAAAACCCCAGGTGCCTCCCCTCAGAAACCTCCACAGAACAGCGATGTCTGCTAAGCCAACACCTAGGTCTCCTTCTCCAGCTCCTCTGCAGTGCTGCCACCATTCCCAATCCCCGAGCCCAGAGGACAGATGGGAAAGAAAACCTTCTCCAGCAATGGATGGCTCTCCCTGGGTCCCAGCACGCTGTTGATTAAACATAGCTGATGGGCAAGGAGTTACTGTGCTGGGCTTAAGGAGGCTGTAACACCATTTTGAGAAAACTACATTTAATTCATTATTTTTTTACTATGCTATCATTTTAACACATTCCTCTATATCAAAACAAGAAATTATAAGGCCCCATGAAGATTTTTTTTTTTTGGAGAGGGCATCTCTCATATTTATTGATCAAATGGTTGTTAACAGTTAACAACAATAAAGTTCTGTACAGGGGACTCAATGCACAATCATTAATCCACCCCAAGCCTAATTCTCATCAGTCTCTGATCTTCTGAAGCACAACGAACAAGTTCTTACATGGTGAACAAGTTCTTAGATAGTGAATAAGTTCTTACATGGGGAACAGTACAAGGGCAGTCATCACAGAAACTTTCGGTTTTGATCACGCATTATGAACTACAAACAATCAGGTCAGATATGAATATTCGTTTGATTTTTATACTTGATTTATATGTGAATCCCACATTTCTCCCTTATTATTATTATTATTTTTAATAAAATGCTGAAGTGGTAGGTAGATGCAAGATAAAGGAAGAAAACATAGTTTAGTGCTGTAAGAAAGCAAATGTAGATGATCAGGTGTGTGCCTGTAGACTATGTGTTAATCCAAGCTAGACAAGGGCAACAAAACATCCACGGATGCAGACGATTTCTCTCAAAACAGGGGGGTGAGGTTCTAAGCCTCACCTCTGTTGATCCCCAATTTCTCACCTGATGGCCCCCCTGCGACTGTGCCTGTCTTAGGTTGTTCCTCCCTTGAGGAATCTTACCCGTCTCTGGCTAACCAGTCATCTCCCATGAAGATATTTTTTGAGGAGCAAGTAGAAGAGGGAAATAAAAACAAGCTGGGATGGGGAGAATTACTTGAAATTAATCAAAAGAAAATGAAGAATTCCAGTGGTACCAAATGACTCAGCGTTTCCAAATGCAGTAATTTTATCCAGTCCCACTTTCTCCCTCTATTCTCCTTCCCTCTCTCAAATTTAAGAACAGTGTGAGCTTTGTGCTCCTGCGATTTCTAAGCTGCCCTCATAACCAACCAGCTATCTCATCTCAAAAATAGGTCTCCCCCTGGAACACAATGGCACAGTGTCTCTTATGAGCCAAGAGACATGTAGTTTTGTCCTTCTGCAATATGGCCCTGAAAGGGGGCATATGACATATATCAGTATCGAAAAAGACCACAGATACCTGCAAAGATTTTAATCTGCAAGGAATAAAAAATAAAACCCAGACGCTGGCATGGAATACCAATAGATTATAGAGGGTCTAAGAAAGCTAAGTGAAAACTTAGAGCATGAAACAGTTGGACCTCAGCACATTTTCTGCAAGGCAATGATGAAAGTGCAAGCACAGAGCAATGATAGCGTCATCAATCAGATCCCAGCTGCCGTGGTAAACATCTATTTCCTGCCAATCCAACCCAAGAGCGTGAAGGATGTTAAAACGAGGCTCTAGCCCGCTGCTCTAGTTATCTGCTGTGACTCTAGGCAGTCCATTCTCTCCTCTGAGATTCCTGGACAGAGGAGAAGTCATCAAAAATGATGCAATGGCTCTAGAGGGCACAGATAGTTTCACAAATGAAAGAGAAAGAAACAAAAAAAAGAAATGAAAATGTATTAAGTGCGCAAGTGTCCTCTCATTTGACCTTCTCCCCCATCACATGAGAGGCTGCTTCAAACCCACCCTTAGGTGGGGCCTGAGGCGGAGAGGTTTGGTGACTTGCCTGAATGGCAAGACTGAAGAAGAACAGAGATCTGAGGCAGGCCCTCCACAGCACCATCCTGCTCTCTCCAGCTCAGTCAAACTGCCGAGAAAGAAAACACAAGGCACGGGCTTCCCAGTACCCCAGATGGATGGCTTTAAAATTATCCTGAGTGTTTTATGCTGTTCATCTATTTCTATACATCAGCCCTGTCACCAAAAGTGCTGAAGGATACAGTCAATTCATTTGTTTTACATGAAGATGCATTTCATGCCAATTCTAAGCAGAAGAGCTTCATGCTGCCTCAGAAAACTCTTGAGTGTCCCCAGCTGCAGCCGAGTTTACAATCCCACATCTCTGTTTACTGGGGACAGATTTCTAAAACTGTCTTTGGCTTCAAACAGTTATAGGACTCAGGAAAGATCAGCAACTGACCCACTGCACGCTGCAATCATTTTGCAGTTGAATTACTGAAGGGCACATTTAAATACAACAGCATTTTTCTGGCAACCATGCATGAGCTAAACCCTTTCAAGTGAGAATATATGATTATTTATTGAAAAAAAGAAGGGAAAAAACCCAAACTTTTCAATATTAGAAGTTTGTATTCATTCTCTTTAGTTTAAATGTTCCAAATGGTTTTCCATTTCAGGATGAGCATCGGTAATATTTTCAGGTAAATACAATAAATATTTTCAGGTAAGCTAAGGAAGCACACATGTTTACCATGCCATTACATGTAACTGCAATAAAAGAAAAATACGGAAACCCTACAATGTCCCACAATAGGAGCACGGCTAAATACAATGGGGATACTTCCACTGTAACCTTGGCAATTATACTAAGGAAGGCAGGTACCAAAGGAAAGTGAAATCAATTTTAGTAAAGAAAGTAAGCCAGGAACTTCCATTTAGCAAAATGTATTCAAGGACAACGACCAGAAGGAAGTGCTGAGAAATGCACGTTATGGGGGCTGGGAGGTACGGTCTGTGGGTGCGCCATCACTGTGTCCTTTTAGACTGCCACTAGGTCGCTATGATGCAATCCCGGCAATAAGCAATGCTGGTCAAAACAATGAGGAGGGGGACGAAGATGACAGCGAAGAGGAGGAGTTAACGAGACCAACAGCCCAGGGGTCAGGGCCGAGCTGGAACTGGTCACAGCTCGCCCGCGCGGGCCCCGAGGGCCCCCACCTACCTTGCTGGATGAGCGCCTCGGCCGCCAGCTCACCGGTGCCCACGTTGGCGTACTCCTCGCTGGGGTGCTTCCTGTTGTAGTGCCGCTTCAGAGAGCCCGATATGTTGCACGAATAATGGCAGTGGGCACAGCGGAAAGGCTGCAGGGACAAGGAGGAGGAGTCGCGCAGAGGTGAGATCGAGCCACGCGAGGGGAACAGACGCGCTCCCCCCAGGGTCCTCCTTCACTACTCTCCCCTCTGCAAGGGTCTGACACCCCGAAAGCTGATGAGCAGCCTGCCCCCCTGGGATGTGCTTTTGGGACAGTCATGACCTCAGAATGTTGAGCCAAGTGACTAGGTGCGGCATCCCCAGGCTGAAGGGGTCTCTGCCATATCTGTTTGCTTCCATTTCTTTCCCTTTTCTGGTAACCCCAGAACTTACAGTGCTTAGTCGAAAAGAAAATTTTTAAAACACAGTAATCTAACACTTTTTTTATGTGAGTAACTTTCAAATTAGCTCCCTTTACAATTAATTTCCTGATATACTTGCTTCTTTAACTAAACAATTTCCTCTACAGTATTTACCTACAAAGGACTTGCAGAAACACAAGTGTCAACCCACCACTGTTCACCATCAGGGAAATCCGTATGGTAAAATCTATTTCCAGCCCTCCACCTGGGTAAGACCGGGCATTCTTCAGGTTAAGGACACAAATGGGTCCTGCAGCCTTGTCTGCCATCTTGCACACTGCTTTGGGGGGCTTGTAAAATATGGTGTAAGGGAAGGGGGCCTGCTCAGGCCTCTTGGGGAGCCCAGCTCCCCGGACATCAGCTGGACGATGCATGTACACCCAGATGTCCTACGCCATGCCTCATTCCCATCTGGGACAGTATTAGTGTCCCTTTGAATGACGTGCTGTACAACTTCATGGCAGAATGCTATGTTTGTACTGTCCTGTTGTACTCAGGGCCCATTTGGTAGCACAGGCAGCTTCCTGGACCCTGGGGAAAGCATGGAAATGCCCTGGGGCAGCAGCACTCTGACTGGCACAAGGCAGTCAGAAGGAGCAAGTTCACCTGACCTCTGGCACTGACCTGCAAAGAACCGCAGACAATCGGCGAAACTTCTCTGAGTGCTGAGCTTCTCATATAAAACGGGGATAATAATGCTGCCTTGTAAGACTGAGGTGAGGATTAAATGATACGATGTAAACCACCACCAAAGAGGCCACAGAAAGCACTCGTGTGTATCAGCACTTGTACACCACTCCAGTGTGCCTGTGGGAGCTGATGCTCCAAACCCTTGACTCCTTAGCCCTCCAGGTGAGCAGTCTCTCACCACTATGACCCAGAGGAGCTAAGCCAGCCACAGCAGGGCTCTGAAGGTGAGGTACAAACAGGGAGGGAATGGCCCCCTCCTGCACTCTAATCAGCCCCCCTTTCAATGGTTCCTCCCTTGCAAGGGTACAGACGTGTTAATGTCTCCCCACTGAGAGAAAGAGAGAAATGAAGGGAGGGGTGAAAGAAAAACCATGTACCCTGCCCATGTTTAGGTCATTGCTCTCCTGGCCCTTTGCCCCAACCAGCCCACCTCAGGAAGAGCAGTTTCTGCCACTGCCTAGGCCTTCCTCCTCCCTTGCTGGCATCAGGGACACCCTGCACACCTCTGCCACAGGCACCACCAGTGGTCTGGTAGACCTCGCACCCACTCCCTTCCTGCCTCCTTTAGCTGGCTGCTACCTCCCACTGAGACATTTGTGGCAGGGTGGCATCGCATCACCGGGTTCTCACCCACTCTGAACTTTCTTGGTTTATTTTACTATATCTGCTTCCCAGGCTGTAGGAAAGACTGGCTTTCTCCACAGCTCTGTCCTGGGGCCCGTGTGTTCCCCTGCTGTGGCTCCAATGATTATATTTACGTGTTGATATTTAGCTCATTGTGATCTCTCCCAAACCACAATAGGAATTTTCAACTCTTCCAAGTATCTCTATGGGGATATTCCACGGGCACCTCAAAATAAACACACAATTCCAGACTCACTATCTTTCTGAAAATCAGCCCATCACCCAGAAGCAGAACCCTGAGCATCATCCTAGACATGTCCTTCTCTCTTACAATTCAACTAATAGCTGAGTCTTGCCCAGGCTTCCTCAGAAACCCCTCCAGAACCTGGCCCTCTCCTCTCCACCTGTCACTCCAGCCCAGAAAAAGGTGTGCCCTGGCCTGTAAAGGAAATGCTGTTATTCCCAGAAGGGCTGTTCTGGGACAGAAAGACACAGGGAAGTTAATCCAGTGAGCTAACCCTCTCTGAAATGGGGGGGACTCCACCCCACATGAAGGCCATCCTTTGGTCTCAGGTACTTTGTGCTGCACAGCATGTGCTCCACTCAGTCCTCCATGTAAGAGATCCCTAAGCTTTAGCCCCCCACAAGTTTATTAAACAAAGGACCTGGAACAAAGGCAGAAAATTAGGCTCTCTCATCTATCTGCTGAGTGGAGACCAGAAGGTCTAAAATGCCAATATATGATTATGTGCAAAGTTAAAACAGAAGCTAAAATATTTTCAAGTGCTTTCCTCTCTAAGAAAATACTATGAAACTATTTTTACAACAATTTGTTAACATTTTTCTGTAAAAGTTATAGCATTTACATAGAAATAGGAAAGACCCACCCAAATTGCTGTACAACCAGGACTGGGCAGTCAGTGGGCCGTGAGCGGCTGGAAGGGGCAAGTAAAGTGAGAAATGGTCCTGCAAACCTGACTTCAGGCTCCAGAGCCCACATCATCCTTCTTCTGGCAAAGCAGATAAACTGCCTCAAGAGAGTTTCAACTCCTTTTATCTCCCGCAACCCCTCCTTAAGAGAACTGCTAACAAGGAGAACTGTGCGCAGATTGGCAAAAAGTGTACAGATGAGCCCAAATCCCAATCAGCCTCTGAGCTATGAATTTCTGTCAAACTCTTCAAGTTAGAAGGGAGGCTTTCACAGATCGACTCTGGCCAACCTTCCCTTCAAGAGGAGATGTTTTCCTGGAGCCTCTGACAGTCTGTGTCTTGGCCTTTGTTAGGTGCACCAGTCAAGCCCCGGAAGTCTCTTGTACTGCTCAGCAGCTCTGGGGGTTTAGAAAGATAAACCTCCCTCTTTCCCTCATTGGTATTCTCCTGTTTAGCCTTCATAATCTTTTGTTCAATCAGCAACCGATAACTTCTACTTGGAAGCTGCTCTACGTAACTGGTAATGGAGGTGTACCTGTACCCCTCAAACAAAGCAAGCTCAAACCTGGAAGGCAATGCCACATTTCAGCAGGGAATTCTGCTGGGGCTACTGCAGGGCAGGAGACAAGGGGGAGACAGCAAATGACATCCTTGCACCCGTTGCCAGACGTGAAGTCTGACTGCATTATTAACATCACAAGTATTGAGATCTCCTTCATGAAGCATGCATTTACTGACCTACTATGAGTCAGGCGCTGTTCTCTCACCAAGGAATACAATGATGAAGGAGAGAGATCTGTAATTCTCTCAAAACACTCGAGTTTTTGGACTCATATACCAACTGCAAAGATGGAATGCTATCCAGACAAACTAAATCATAAAACCTGGTTGCCAAGTCAGATGCTCACAGGCAGCAAATGACTGCAGATCTCCAAAGGGGAGTTATTTATTGAGAGCTTTCAAGCCAGAAGCTGACCTAGAGTTAGGAGAAAGATATAAGCAAGCTACAATAGTGGAGTGCATGTGAAACAAAAGATTAAAGTTCTTACTGTGGCCGAAAGAGAGTGATTCAAAAACAAGACAAGGAACCCATTGCTATACCTAGTACTCAGCATTGCACTGGAGTTATTAATTACTGTAACCGTGTTAATAAGTACATGTTATTATTACTAGTATTTAAAATTATTGATGATTATTACTATTTTAGCTAACATTTCTGACAGCCACCATATGCCAGGTAATTGTTTTGCAGGATTAATTCCTGTAAGTCTTACAATAAACCTCATGTGATAATTACAATTATTATCCCCATATCACAGGAAAGAAAACTGAGGTGCAGAATGGTTAAGGAATTTGCCCAAAGTTTCCATCTCCCAGCCTGCCCAGGTGGCCTGCACTGGAGTTTGAGCCCCAGGCCCAGCCAGCAATAAAGAGATGACTGACTTTCCACTGGCCATGATTTCCTGAGTATCTGCCTCCCCTGGGAGCTCCACTGAGAGGCACGGTTTGGTATTGCTGCATTTCTCAGACATAAGGCAGCTAACATCTCACCATCAACTTCTGAAAAATAAGGACCACCACGGTAGGCTAGGAGAAATGGAGGTCGTCCTGGAACATCATGATGAAGCAGGGGCTGATGGGAGCTGAGGACAGACAGCAGCCAGATCAAGTGGGATGTGCACTGGGTCAGAAAAGTGACTTCAGGAGATGTGAGTCTCTGCCGGGTGTCAGGCAGGGGATAACATGCCAACTTCACATTTGGAGTTATCACTCTGGAAATCAATGGAGGGTGGACTTGAAAGGAGCCAGATTAAAGGCAGGGAACCAACTGTCCAGTGTTGCAGTGATGCAGACAAGAGATACAGAGATCCCTATAATATAGATTTGGGATTATAGATTATACCCCTTTACACAGATTATAGGTAAATAATCTGGGCATATTTACAGGGCCTAAGAGGAGAGAGCAGAACAAGAAAACAGAGAAGGAAGAGCAGGTTCAGAGAGATGGAGGAGGTAAAATCAGCCAGACCTGCTGAATGAGACACCCAGTGAGAAGATGGAGACGAATGGCTTCCTAGTTCCCAGCTGGGCTGACAGGAGGAAGGCAGGCGCCAGCTGTGGGGGGAGCTCCCTGCGTGAGGCAGAGGGAGGCTGTGGGTGCAGGACTCTGGGTGTCCTGGATGCAGGCCCAGGAAGTGCTTGGAGACGCAACCAGATAGCTCAGAGGAAAGTCGGAGCTGCAGATACAGATCTGAGCACAGGCACCCGGCGGATGCCCTGAGACGGGACACCCCCAAATAGGAGGACGTGTGAAGCAGGGATGAGCAGCACCAGAACAGCACCCTGGAATCCAGGCTACAGGAAAACAAGATGAGCTCATGAGGCAGGACAAGAGAGAATGACAGCAAGTGGAGACGCAGGGTGGCTGGAGGGAGGGAAGGCAG